ATTTCCATTTATATATGACAAACACACTAGCTCTGCCCAAGTCCATCTCCGCACTGTATAATTATGATCTTTTATGTTGAAAGATGTAGCTGTGGATCATGGCATCTTCCAAGATGGCCATGACTATATAGTTAATAATAAATGACAGTTACTATATATAACTTTTCGCTTCCCCTTGTCCCCCTGAAAAAAAAACTCAGCCATAAAAAAGAATGAAATGTTGCTATTTGCAACAACATGAGTAGACTTGAAAGGTATTATGCTAAAGTGAAGTAAGTCACACAGAGAAAGACAAATACTGTATGATATCACTTCTGTATGGAATCTGAAAAAATACAGTAGACTAGTAAATATAACAAAAAAGAAACAGACTTATAGAAAACAAACTAGTGGTTACTAGTGGGGTGAGGGAAGGGGGAGGGACAATATAGAGACAGGGAATTAAGAGGTACAAACTACTATGTATAAATAGATTAAAAAGATCTATTGTATAACACAGGAATATAGCTAATATTTTATACTAACTATAAGTGGAATATAACCTTTAAAATTGTAAATCACTATATTGTACACTTGTAACTTATAGTATTGTACATCAACTATACTTCAATAAAATTAACAAAAAAATGTTAATGTTTATGTAATGGTGTTATATGAATCTCTAACTGGAAATCAGTGATAAATGTTATATATGCCAAAGAGACTTAAGTGAAAATAATTTATATGTAAATGAACCCTTCTTTGATGATATTGATGTTCTAACAATGGCGACTGATTCTGAAGCTGTCAATGGAAGGAACACACAGGGTCTCCAAAAGTCACTTTCCCAAGTATCTTTATCCTGATCTCAAAATTCAATCTAAAATAAGCAATGTACACTTTTTATCCAAGTGAATAAAGTTGAATAAATATATATATATATAGAAAAAAAATGACAGCAACATTTTCTATGTGCCTAGCACTGTGCCAAGCACATTCCATGATTATTTTGTTTAATCCCCTGAACCACCCCATGAGGCAGGTCCTGTGAAAGTCTCCTTTCCACAAAGATGGAAACAGGCCTAGAGAGGTTTAGCAGTGGAGGACAGGTCACAGAGCTAGGAAGCAGCACGGCAGGGATCTGAACCTTGGGAGTGTTTCCTGAGCCTCTGGTCTTGGCCACTGTGCTCTGCACCCCCACCCCTGTGCGTGGAGTACACAGCTGCCTCTGGCTGGGGATTGAGAGCTGATCCTGATAAGTTTCTTATTGCCTTTTTGTGTCTTCCTAAGAGCCCACTACCCGTTCTTTGCTGTAGAGCAAGTATTTGAAAAGTCAGACTTCTCCCATTGTTCCTCCTTCATCAGCCTTCCACTTAGCCCGAGTTCAGCATTTGCTGATATACTGCTTGCTAACTGACCTCGCACTGCTGGAGGGCAGAGCAAGAATATGGCACAAGCCTGGGCGGGGCCGAGGGAGACCCTCATGAAGTGGAGCCTAACACAGAACGTGGGAGCTACACAGGAGGGAGTTTGTGTGTGCTATAATAGTAGGCACCTTGAGAAGCCTAGGCACTCATTTATAATAACTTCTACTCTTACTTGTAGACAGTGTTTTTTCCCTCCATCAAGCATGGTGTCCATTATAGTACATGCTCAATTAGCATTTGGTGAATGCATGAATGAATGAAGGACAGACAGAATGAATGGGTTGTTTATTTGGTTTCTTTGATATAACGGCCTTTGCTGCTTTTCTGGGTTATATTTGCTTCATCCAGCTCTTCCCTCCTGTGTGCCTGGATTCTCCTCCTTGCCACCTCCTTCTCTCTCTCCCTCTCCCCTGTAAGTCCAGGGAGTGACTGGACAGTTGGTGGCAAGAGATATTCTTTTGGGTGATGTTCCAGATGGTGGAGGTGCTATAGTTTCAGAGTAGAACCATTCGTTAGGGAAAGTAGGAGTTAAATCTGCCTTCAAGGGACTAAAATTACCATCTATGATATTAATGTAGGAACGTGCATTCTGAGTCCTAAGCAGACTTTGGGGCACATCACTGGGAACTGCATGTGTTTGAGAAGCTCGTACCGTCCACGCACCTGCAGTGACATCCTCTCCACATCTGTTCTTATGAATTAACAATGGCTCCTTGGCTTTGCTGCCTTGCAGAACATTGGTCTACAAGACATCTGGTCCATGCTAAGGTCCTTGATGTTTACAGGAACATGTAGTCCTGTCTAAAATGACTGAAAGACATTTGGTCCATGCCAAAAGGTCCCTGATATTTGGTCTTGCCAAAAATGATTTGGCATGCACAGAAATCAGAGAAGTAAAAGGGATCCAAATTGGAAAAGAAGAAGTAAAGCTATGACTGTCTGCTGATAACATGATACTATACATAGAAAATCCTAAAGATGCTACCAGAAAACAATACTAGAGCTCATCAATGAATTCAGTAAAGTTGTAGGATACAAAATTAATACACAGAAATCTGTTGCATTTTTATACACTAAAAAATAAAGATCAGAATGAGAAATTAAGAAAACAATCTCATTTATCATCACATCAAAAAGAATGAAATACCTAGGAATAAACTTACCCAAGAAGATGAAAGACCTGTACTCTGAAAACTATTAAGACATTAATGAAAGAAATTGAAGATGACATAAATGGATAGAAAGATATACTGTGTTCTTGGATTAGAAGAATCAATATTGTTAAAATGACTCTACTACCCAAGGCAATCTACAGATTCAGTGCAATTCCCATCAAAATGCCAATGGCATTTTTCACAGAACTAGAACAAAGAATTTTATGAAAACACAGAAGAACCCAAGAAGGCAAAGCAAACTTAAAAATGAAGCTGAAGGAATCAGTCTCTCTGACTTCACACTATATTACAAAGCTACAGTAATTAAAACAGTGTTGTACTGCTGCACACATACACACAAAAACAAGAAATATACATCAATAGAAGAGGGTAGGAAACCCATAAATAAACCCATTAATCTATGACAAAGGAGGCAAAACTATACAATGGAAAAGAGACCGTTTCTTCAATAAGTGGTGCTGGGAAAACTAGACAGCTACATGTAAAAGAATGAAATTAGAACATTCTCTAACATCTAAAATAAACTCAAAATGGATTAAAGACCTAAATTTAAGAATGAAGACTATAAAACTCCCAGAGGAAAACATCACAGGACACACTTTAACACAAATCACAGCAATATATTTTTGAATCCATCTGCTCCAGAGAACAAAATAAACAACAGAGACCTAATTAAACTTAAAAGCTTTTGCACAGCAAAGGAAGCTATAAACAAAATGAAAAGACAAACTAGAGAATAGGAGAAAATATTTGCAAATGGTGCAACCAACAAGGGATTAATCTCTAAAACATATAAACAGCTCATGCAGCTCACTATTAAATGAATAACTTTAAAAATGGGCAGAAGATTTCAACAGACACTTCTCCAAAGAAGACATGCAGATGGCCAAAAGCCACATGAAAAGATGCTCAATATCACTATCAGACAAATGAAATCAGAACTATGAAGTATCATCTCACACCAGTCAGAATGGCCATGATCAAAAAGTCTACAAATAATAAATGCTGGAAAGGGTGTGGAGAACAGGGAACCCTAATACACTGTTGGTGGGGATGTAAATTGGTGCAGTCACTATGGAAATCAGTATATAGTTTCCTTAAACTGAAAACAGAGCTACTATATGATGCTGCAATTTCACTTTTGGGTATATATCCAAAGAATACCATAATTCAAAAAGATACATACACCCCAGTATTCACTGCATCACTATTCACAATAGCCAAGATGAGGAAGAAATGAAATGTCCATCAACAGAGGAATGGATAAAGAACATGTGGCACATATATACAACAGAATATTACTCAGCCATAAAAAAAGAATGAATGAATGCCATTTGCTGGGCTTGCCCGGTGGCACTAGTGGTAAAGAGCTCATCTGCCAATGCAGGAAATGTAAGAGACGTGGGTTTAATCCCTGGGTCTGGAAGATCCCCTGGAAGAGGGCATGGCAACCCATCCCAGTGTTCTTGCCTGGAGAATCCCCATGGACAGAGAAGCCTGGTGGGCTATAGCCCACAGGGTTGCAAAGAGTTAGACAAGACTGACGCGACTTAGCACACACACACGCAGCAACATGGAGGGACCTAGAGATTTTCATACTAAGTGAAGTAAACCAAATATATCATAGCATGTGTGAAGTCTAAAAAAAAGACATAAATGAACTTACTTTCAAAGCAGAAGCGACTCACAGACTTTGAAAACAAACATGATTACCAAAGGGAAAAGGTGGGGGGAGGAGGGATAAATGTAGTTTGGGGTTAACATATACACACTTGAGTTCAGTGGCTTCAGTCGTGTCCGGCTCTTTGCAACCGTTTGGACTGTAGCCCACCAGCCTCCTCTGTTTGTGGGATGTTTCAGGTAAGAATACTGGAGTGGGCTGCCACTTCCTGTTCCAGGGGATCTTCCCAACTCAGGGATCAAACCTGCCTCTCCTGCATTTCAGGCAGATTTTTACTTGCTGAGCCATCAAAGAAACCTCTACATGTACACACTACTACATATAAAATAATCAACAAGGACTACTGTATAGCACAGGGAACTTCACTCAATATTCTGTAATAACCTATATGGGAAAAAATTTGAAATAGGGTAGATGTATAACTGAATCACTTCATTGTACACCTGAAATATAGCATTGTAAATCAACTATACTCCAATGTAAAATAAAAATTCAATTTAATGTTGATGTATGGCAGAAACCAACACAACACTGTGGAGCAATTATTCCCCAATTAAAAATAAATAAAATTTAAAAAATTAAATAAAAAAAAGATGCAGTATTAGGGACACTGCATTCCTGGTGCCAGCTATAGCTTCCCAGAGTTTTATTTTCCAGTTGGAGCTTTTCACTGATACATCATGCCAGCATCGGGGCAGGCTGTACATTAAGTGGTTTTCCTTTCTGTGTCTTTGACAGATGTGCCATCCCCACACCAGCGAGCCTCGGCCAGGATGAAACCAATAGAAGAAGGGGTAGAAGACGACGACGAGGTCTTTGAACCTGCATCTTCAAATACATTTAAAGTTCGTCAATGGCCTTGATCCCAAGAGAGGATTCAAGTTACCAAGAGGGAAACGGTCTTGGAGAGATCCTGAAAAATACCAGCACTTTTTCACGGCTTTTAGATTTTTTTCTGCTTTCATACACCCAGCTTGGTAGAGTCTGAGGGTAGGAAAGTGGGGGAGATTCAAAAATGGGAAGGTTACCTTCTCTTTTTACTGGTCAGCTTTTAGTTTCACTGAGCCTTCTGACTAAAACGTGTGCTCTTTTTGAGAGAGATATTTTCACAGTGTTTTCTAGATATAATATCACTTAAATTTAAAAAAAAACTTAGTGCTTTGTCATTTCAAATGCCTTCACTTATCTTCCAAGTTGTTGTTCGCTTGCATCAGACAGTTTATCCTCTGCTGTGGCAATGGGGTTGTCCATTTGATTGAGGTGGAGGGAATGTTAAAAAAAAAAAAAAAAAAAAAAGCAGGGAGTCTCAGGCTTTGCTCAATGAATTTTCTGGCTGGAAAATTCTGAAGAAAGATGTGATGTGACTCATGTATATTTTTTCTCTCAGGCCAGATACATCATTCTACTAGAATATCTCACCTTTGTGGACACTATGGATAGGTTGCTTGTCAAACTTGACTCACATTACCCTGATACTACACTGTTTGGAAGCTGGGATGAACCCTAGAAGGTGACAGTGGAAGCAGTTCTGAGCTCAGGGTTACCCTTTGGCTAAACCCGCCCAGCTGTGACGTGGAGCCATCTCGCCCCACGCTCTGCCGTAGGAAGCACATTACTGGGGGACAGGAGGACTGCAGACAGAGTCAAGTGGTCAAAGAAGCGTCCCAGAATGACGAGGCTGACAGAGCCACCGCACTCTCTGGCTACTGCTCTCATGTTCAGATGGTTTCTCCAGGGGCACAGACGGCTCCTTACTGTGTGAGTCAGATACCAGGTGCCAGGGCTGCAAATGGAGACACAGCTGTGAGGCAGACGGCCCGCCACAAGCTCTCCCGTGATCGCCCAGCCTAGAGAGTGCTCCGAAGACCTTGATTCTAGAGCTCTCTTTTCCACCAGTTGTGATTCCAGACACAGTGGTAACTTGGGAAATTTGCTTAAATCATCAAGCGGGTAGGTGTGACTGTGGCCCTTCGCCAGGCCACCCATTTGAGGGAAGCCCCCCTGAACGGCTGTGTTCCAGCATGCCCCACTAACTTCATCTTGTGTACTCCAACTCTGAGTTAGACCCATTATGTTAAATAACAAGGAAAGTCGCATATAAAATTATTTTCAGGTGAGCTGAGCCAAAAGCATCTTTTGCCAAGAGGTGATTTCTATGAGAGAAGATATAAAACTCAACTACCCCAGGGTCACTTCATTGTCCTAAACTCATTTTTTAAAGCCAGCTATTTTAGTAATTTCACTTGAGTCAAATTTACATGCTTGATCACTCACTGAGAAAAATTCCACAGACTGGGTATCCAGCTCCTAACACATTCATCAAATGAATAGCTTGTTAACCTCACCATAGAAAGGCTGATTTCACTTTCTGCTGTAATGGTCTCTTCTGTTTGCTAAATTAAGGTTTTATTTTGGGGAAGTGAAACAAAGGTGAGTGAATGACTTTACCTTGACTTTAAGACTTAAGATATAGCAGGTTGAACTTTCTCTCAGTGCCTGAATCAAGTGTATGAAGTAATGGTGTTAATACCACTTTAACTATTGAAGTGACGCTATGTAGGCCATTGAGTTTATACATGCATAGGACTAATTTATAAAATCATTCAACAGAGTAATTAGATATTACATCCTTGTCTAAGTAGAAAGCAATTTTAGATTCTACAAAAGCCATGTTTGTAATGTTCTGTGAGTCCACAGAACCTTGAGACTTTCTTACCCTGACCCATTTTCAGACGTGTCTCACTTAGTCACCCTTAGACAGCAGAGAGGAGCATCTCTAACAATCAACCTGGATGTGTTTAGAGGTGAGTTTCTGTCGTGCTGGAAAAGCACACTGTTTAAAAGCACACTGCTAAAATTAGGTGATATGATGTCATCTACTTTTTTAATGTGTTTGTGTCACTGCCATCGATAATGAAGGTTATAATCTCAAGATTAGGAATCTTCAAAAGCCACTTATCTTGAATAGGAAACATAAAACTATCTGTAAATACATCCCTCTAAGGATGACAGCGAAGGAGCCAAAGCCGTTGAGTAGTCCTCCCATTAGACTTGATAGCAAAGAAGCAGATAACAAAACATAAAAGATCTCCTATAGATGATTTTTATAGATTCATGGACGCAAGTGTATCTTTGTATAACATGTAGATTAAGAAAAAAAACACATTTGTTGCCAAAGCGACCAATAAAATGCTTCCTGTGTTTTTTGGCCTTCACTTAGCTATGTGACCAAGGTCCAGAAAATGGCCTATAAAAATTACTCTATCACCCCAAATCCACTGTTGAAATGTAACATCAAGTTCCTTGTATGAAGCTGGAGTCAACATTTATACCAGAATGTATGGCATTTATAATATTCTGCAAGCTCTCATAAATGTTGTGTTTATAAAATAATAGCACAAACCCTATGATGTTTATAGATTTAAATTAGTAATAATGGGTGCTATATAATTATTTTTGTTACCTCCTTGGCTCCCTGGGATCTTTTCTGTTTCTCCCTGTGGTTCATTTCACTTTAATCATTTTGTACCTTTGTGCTTTGCTGCCAACAGTGTGCTGTGCCCACTGGGAGACACCACCTTCTGTGCATCTGGTTCTCCTTCCACACGCCTGAGCTTTTCTGATTTTGTAACTTGGAGCTGCTGATTCTTGCTCTCCATATCCTATCGTGTGACCTCAAAGGCAGAGTCACTTAAATGCTGGAAAAAATATTTAGTAGAGAAAGTTACGTAACTACACTCGTAGCCCTGTCCGTGATGCACCCAGGTGACGACCTTGCCCTCTGGTGAGGATTTAATGCTAGTGTGTGTGGCATCCAGCTGAGCCCTTGGGCCTGCTGGCTGGTCCAGACCCTGGGGTGCAGCTCCAAGGATTCAGTTACTATTTTTAAAATCTATTTTCCTCGTCATTTGTAAAGCTGCTCTGCAGAAACCGTGGACTCTGCCACGTTTCCCCTCCTTTCCCTCTTTCTTAACCTGGTTTCACAACCTTTTTCTAATTATGCCCAACTAGAGTGATTAGAAATTCCCACCCACTCAATTCCAATTCCCTGGGATGTGACGGGATAGGACTGTGCAGGGAGCTCAAGGTTGTTTCACACAACACATCTCACTGACACTCTGATCATTACAGGACCCCCATGACATATTGTAGGGCAAGTTTAAAAAACCCACTTTAAGCACTATTTACAGATTTTACCAATATACTTACAACCTAGTTTTAAAGTACCTGAGAATTTCGTGTCTACTTCGTACAGACATGGTATTTATAGGAATTGCATTCTTTCTGCTTTGAGGTGCCATTTACATGGATATCATTTTACTTTATAATTTACATTTTGTCTGAATAGAGCTTTGTAGTTTAAAATATCTTCATATTTTGTCATTTGATTAAATAAACTTACTTGGAATACGTACACTTTTAAAAAATTTCTCTTATATGTGGCTGGTTTCTCTAATGCCATGCCCAAAGGTCCAAGAAAGAACTTCAGAGGTCATGGGAATTGCTCTGGTTTAGGCAATCTGAGCAGACACGGAGGAGGCATGCTCCTGGGTTAGCTCCCCTTAGTTTTGAGGGCCTGCTATCTTGCTGCCTTTGGTCATGAAAAGGGTGGGCCACGAGGCAGTGGACAGTCCTGCCTGGATGCAGTGACTGAGAAGCCTCCAGAGTTTCAATGTGAGGATACATTTATTTCAAATTTTTAATCCACTGTATTTGAAACTTCACTTCTAGTTTTCGTAAGGTTCAGCAATACAAGGAATCACATGAAGGGGACGGAACACGTCCCCTGGGTCTACTCTGTGGCGGGCAGTCTTTCTGTTCATAAAAAAACTCACATTTGCTTCCATCACCTGTGCTCGATGTTAAAAAGGGACTGGAAAGCCCATCTCTTGGCCGTTTGTAGTAGGTCCTTGACACCTAATTAACTTACCCTGATCAGCACCAAGACGAGACCCAGCTGAACCAGGCGTCTTACACCACTAGTTAAAGAATTAATTCTCTTGCCTGATAAGCCATGTCATTCAGGCCTAATGTCTGGCTCTAAGCCCTGACTTTCAAGCTGCCCCATCTTTGGGGCAACATGAGCTAAAATTGACAGGACTTGGTTCCAGATTTGTGGGAGCAGAGATGGTGGTGAGAGGGGAGAGTGTCAAAGAGCTCCAGCTGGAGTTGCTGCTGGTTACTCGCTGGTGAGGACCAGGTTTGAGTGGAGAGACTGTTTTCTTCATCCTGAGTTTGAGGGGCCTCTGGGGCAGCAGAGAGGTGTCAAAATCTGGAACTTGGAGGAGGGATTGGGGGCTAAGGATACAGATTTCTGAGCTGAAGATGGCACCGTGAATTTGACAGCTTCCCAATATGTAAAAAATTTTCTGTTAAAGGGGGTGTGTGTGATGAATAAATATGAACAAATACACTACACCAATATTTCCTTAATGTGGATGGACCTAGAGATTATCATACTAACTGAAGTCAGAATGAGAAAGACAAATATACGATATTTATATGTAGAGTCTAAAATATACAGATGAAATATACAGACTCACAGACATAGAAAACAAAGTGACAGTCACCAAGTGGGAAAAGGGATGGGGACGGTATAAATTAGGAGTCTGGGATTTGCAGATACAAATTACTATACATAAGATAGATTTTTAAAAAAAAACAACAAAAAAACAAGATCCTACTGTAAAAAAATTTTTTCCTTGCTGTTTACTAAGGGCAGATATATCCCCACTGACCTTCAGGTTCTCCCAGCCTCCTTTGTCATCCTATCACAAGATGATTCCCATCTTCCCAGCTTACAGCTAAGCTTTCTACTTTTCTGCCCCATTTGCCTGGTCCAGCTGCTCAAAACAGGCAGGAC